TTTTTTTTTTTTTTTTTTGCTGACATACAGCACAGGAATGCATTGTGCTGGACTGGTTAATTTCCCACACCGGTCCCCCTCATGTGCCTCTGATTTGCAATGATTTTAGGTTAGTATTTGTGATAAGACGGTACAGTTTGCGTCTCCTCACACAAAAGGAAATTGTGGAATATGCCAAACCTATCTCTTTGTAAGAGTTTATTTGATGCCATTGGTGTAATTACACAATGCTTTCTGTGGAAGAATGGTACAATTAAAAGAGTGGAAATTTTGTGAGGGGAAAAAAAACAGAATGTAAGGGAACAAGTGGTACTGTTCTGGGAAAGTCAATAAAAAAAAATCAATGTGTTTCACTGACTGCACTTTTCCACTCTTGTCGCATTTTCCTGACACACAGCTTTCTTTCCTTTGATCGTACAAAGAAACATTATGTATACTGATAAAATAGTTGGAACCTGCTGGTAAATTTAGAAAATTCACTCTATTAGTATTTCTTTCTTTATTTGCTTTAATTAGGATCCACTGAACCATCACTTTGATTCAGGCCTTTGAAACAAGAGTAAATCTAATGTACTTGTGTATTTGCAGTTATCTTACTTTTGTATGTTTTGCTGAAAGAAATTTATGCTAGTTCAAAATACCTGCTCTTTAATACGAAAATGAATAATTATGCCCCACTATACAGATTTATGACCCAAATGCCCAAAATTAACAGTACTGGTAATTGTAAAAATCTTTTTTGTTAATATTACAATATGTTAAAAATAAATATTTTAACTGCTAAAATATAATTATTGTTGTTATCCATGAATTTCCACTTTTACCATTTTACAGAAAAGCTGAAAAAATATTTAAAGCGCATTATTATTATTTTTACTCCAGTTATTTACAAACATTCCTGAATAGAAAATTCCATTTTAGTGTTTGAATGTTATGTTTGGTTCATATTTGAGTTCTCAGTGAAGTCCAGTGTACTTGTTCATATTTGGGTAAGAAAACATTGGATTCAGTTTTTCATTTGCCTAATAAATAATAAATAACAGCATCATTTGTTTTAGTTATAAATATATTTTTGATAGATTAAAATTTTTTTTTTGCATTTTCTTGTTTTTATGACAGACAGTCTGATAAATTTGTTAAGCACTGTATACAGTGTACTGAGTCGTGTTCCCATTATTATGAATATGTTTACTTTTAACAGTCTCATAGTTTACTCGTTCTCATATTATTTGCAAACCCTTTAAAGATTTAAGTTTGTTTATACTTCTAATGACTTATTTATCACGTTACACGAGTCAATAAGCTGTATACTTATTTCACCACTTCTCATGATGACACATAGCCTGTAGCTGTCCCCAGACAAAATAATGCCATTATTCCAAAGGGGCAGGTCAAAGTGACTCTGTTTCTATATTTATTGTGATTGTTTTATTATAAGAAATGTGTGTGTGTGTATCACAGAAACTATTTGTGTCCGATCTAAAATTAGACCAGAGGATAAGCTTTTTATTGTTTTAAATCTGTACAGGAAAACATAAAACTACATGAAGAAATATTTATAGTCCATTAGCTTCCAATCTTTTTAACCAGTCATGTTAAACTTTATGTAAAGAATGCACAGACATGAATGCAGTACAAACTGTATTTATTGATACTCAGACAGTGTTTTTGTTTTAAATAGTACAAGACATAAAGGGAGCACTGGGCGTCTGCTGTGAAATAATAAACAAATTTATCAATTTGAAAACTAGTAAAGGAACAAGCATTATACAGGCATAATTTTTATTGCTCAGTTTGGTTTGCTGTTATGAAAACAGATTCACTATTGCACCGTTGGTTACAAAACACAGAAAGTCAATCCTATATCATTGTTAGCTATGGTTGCTTAGTTGAATTTGGCAACAAATGGCAAAGGGATGTCAACCTCTACTTTTTGGTCACTTACTCTAACATATTTTTCAACATTTTTGCTTTTTTCCTTCAGGGATGTAATGGCATTGTTGTGCAGAGTATTACCGCCTTTCACCATTGAATTAATCCAGGACTGGATGTCAGCTGTGAGTTGTTTACTAGATATGTCAGCCAAAATATTTTGGAGTTTAGCAGTCACAGCTTTTAGATATTCCATAACAACTCTGCAGACCTCTTCAACCGGCTTGATAACACCAGCCAGAACAGGAGAGTTCATGGCATCGTTGTATGCAGTACTCACAAAGTCAGAAAGTGTCTCCAGATTCTGGGATTTCAGAGTTTGGAGAAGCTTCTCACTCTGTTGGATGGTAAACTGCATGATTGCTGATAATTTCTTTACAATGTCCTCCAGCCGGATATCTCTAAATTTTCTCACAGTAACAACCACTTGGCCCTGGATTTTCTTTAAAGCTACCAACATATCATCAAGAATTTCCTTTCCGCTGACAATGCGATTAGAACCTGGGAAGGTGAATTCGGTGGCTTGGAAAGAATCAAGTGCCGTTGCAAACATGGAAGAAAGGTACTCTGGAATCTTATGGATTGCTTCTTCAGATACATCAGCAACAAAAGAAGTACATTTCTGATAGACCTCAAGCCCAGACAGCTTCTCTTTATAGCCGGGAATCTGGAACCTAGTCTCTCTCAGAAATTTAACAACAGCATCAAGGAACTTTTCAACTTTCTTCTGGTAGTTTTCGAGGATTAAAACAGTATTATCTGTGACAGTGGTCACAATCTTGCAAGATTTTACTGAATCAAGACTGTTAATAGCCCTCTTGAACATCACATTACCCTGCTTTTTAGCCTGTGCAAAGGAACCTTCGAGTCTTCTAACTTGTTTGTTGACCGCCTTGTATGTTATGACAGCAGATTCAGACACTATTTCCATGACCGCAGGCACTTGTTTCTTCGCTCCGAGCATCATCTCGTATGGTATTTCCATATTCCAGGTTGTTTGAAGGTTCAGCTTCTCAGAGTTGATCACAGACATCTTCAGACCCAAGATATCAATGTCTGTGGATGGCTCAGACTAAACAGGACACATGAAAACCAATAGGTTAATTATTTAAATAATACATCATTTAGGTTGAAAAAAAAAACAGCTTTTATTAGAAAGTGCATCGATAGTAGGCTATTATCTTACCGGGTAACGACCATAGAGTCTTGCTTTCACTTGTGCCGGTCGCTTAGCCTGCATCTGAACTGCAATGAGTCCTGCAGATGGATTGGAAACTGAGACAATAAGGCCTTCTTCTGGATTTCCAGTAATCTCCTCATAGATTTCCATGGTCAGGTCAAGAATGTTGACCTTTGCTGTGTTTGTGATGGTGATAGCTACATTTTCAGTAGTTAGGAAGATGGTGCTGTCATGATGTCCCTCTAGCATTGAATGTTTCACATTGAGGAGAGAGGCCATTTTAAATCCACCCATCATGTTCACATTGGTTTTGCCCTCAATCATTCCATTCAGGATCTCAAATTCAGATGTTGAAGAAGCATCTAGTTTGATGGTGATGCTGTCCTGCTTTAGGATGCTTGCGTTAGTCTTGAGAGTGATCATTGGTGTCTTCATGGAGATCTCATAGGTCATATCACCCATAACTGGGATCTTGATGCTCTGAATTTTGGGCAGGGTGATTTTTGGAAGAGTTACCCTGCGCAGGGCAGAGGGCACACGCAGAGTGGGCATTGTGATGAGGGTGAAGTCAGGCAGGGGAATTGTGAATGTTGATGTCTCAATGTTCATCATGGGAACCTTATAGGCAGGGACAGTAATAGTTTTAGGCAACTCAGTGCTATATTTTTCATACTCTTCCTTTGCTTTGTCATATGATGTAGCGAGTATGGCAGCAGCCTTATCCTTGCCATTCATCATTTTCTTGTGCAGTGTCTTGAAATTGGTGTTAAACGCATTGATGACTGGATCCATATTGATGTTAATGGCGATCAACTCATGGTTCTTAGTGTACTTCAGCTTGGAGCTCATATCAAATGTTTGCTGTGTTGTGATTAGTAGATTGCCCAGACCAGTGTCTTCCCACAGTGAGTAGTCTTCCACTTTTGGTGTCTTCATGTCAACAAATGGCAAGGTAATTTCAGGAATGGTGATAGGCTGCTTCAATACATCAAGATTGGCATCTCCTTTGATTTGGGAATACAGGTTAATTTCTGTTTCTCTGTTGTCCACAGCAAAGTAATGGGAGTATTTGTACTGGTTGAATCTAGCCAGACCTGTCCAACTAGCCTGCTGCACTTCGGTGTTCACGGTGAAAGCAATGTCATTCTGGAGATCTATCTTTCCAGACAGCTTTAATGGAAGGGCAATTTTGGTATTTGCTGTGTTCTTGGTATCAAGCTTAAGCTCATTAGGTGTGACCAGAGCAAGGGCTGAGTTTGAGAGAGTTCCTTCAACCTGACCAACCAGCTGTGCGCTGTGAGAGGCAGAGAAATCAATTTTCATGTCTTCAACCTTTGCCTCGAATTTGAGTTCTGCAACGCTGTTTTTAATGAAAGGTGTTTCAGTCTCAGCCTTGGCATCAACAACTACGTGGCTGAAAATGCATATTTCAGCACCAACATTCTGATTCGTTTTCAGAAAGTTGCTGTCTGTTGTTCCAGTGAAACTCACTTTGGCTTTATGGAAATCCATGACCACTGACAAGTCGCTCTTGTGGCGTGCCTCATCTGAGAAGTCCCGAATTGCATATTTTTCTCTGGCCACATTGTTAAAGGTCAGTTGGATGGAGCCATCTTTAAGCAGGAAAACTACATTTTCTTTAATCTCCATTTCACTAAAGATGTTAAGGGCAGGCATGTTGAGGTCATGTACGTACGTAGTGACTGCGGTGGTTGAAATTCCATTTTCCATGTTGAAGACTGCATTGTTAACAAGGGTTGCAGAGTAGAGCTCGGTTTTTGCTGCTGCAATAGTATCAGCAGAAGCTTCAGCTGTCAGACCATAGAAGGTCATTTGACCCTTGTGGTCAAGTTCA